CTCGGAGCTGATCCCGCTCCTGAACACCAGCCCGGAGCTCGGAGCTGATCCTGCTCCTGAACACCAGCCGGAGCTCGGAGCTGATCCTGCTCCTGAACACCAGCCCGGAGCTCGGAGCTGATCCCCCTCGTGAACACCAGCCCGGAGCTCGGAGCTCATTCCCGCTCCTAAACACTATCTCGGAGCCCGGAGCTCGGAGCTGATCCTGCTCCTGAACACCAGCCCGGAGCTCGGAGCTCATTCCCACTCTTGATCACTATCTCGGAGCCCGGAGCTGCTCCCGCTCCTGAACACGTGGATATTTGCTGGCCGGGCCCGGGTCAGGTTTCCAGCAGGGCACCCAGACCGGCTTTAAGGATCTGCACCGGAAAAACCACCCTGGCGGGATTCCTGCTGCTCCCTGCCCGACACGGAGCTGCCCCGCACGGGATAAAGGGATTCATTGAGACCATTCCCTGCTGGTGGTGGGGGATCCCCCTCTGCAGCTGCACGGGATAAACTTGGGGTGCAGGAATTGGGGGACGAGCCCAAGGGAACGTTGAGTGAAACAAAAATTCTCCCAGGAGCTGAGAAAAGAAAGGGAGAGCTCAGATCTCCCCTCGCCAGCCTCAAATCGCGCAGMAAGCGCCGATTTCAGGCACAGGGAAAGCGGCAGGACAAAAGCCGGGCAGGGGGAGGGCCGGGCACAGGAGCTTTACCACCTGCAGGAGGGGGAAGAGTATCCAAACAACCCGAAAACAGCCTGAAAACAACCCAAAACCAGCCTGAAAACAACCCGAAAACAGCCTGAAAACAACCCAAAACCAGCCTGAAAACAGCCCAAAACCAGCCTGAAAACAGCCCGAAAACAGCCGAAAGCACCCTGAAAACAACTCAAAAAAACCCTGAAAACAACCCAAAAACACCCTGATTTCCTTCCCGGAGCCTCGGGCCGTGGGATGCCCGGCTCGCCCCTCTGCTGAGCGGAATTATCGCRACTTTTTTTGATCCTAAAGCACCAAATCCTGCGGAGGAACCGAGTGGCTCCCGTCAGCCCCGCTCCCTGGGATCCCTCCATTCCCAATCCCGGGGGATTCGATCTTTTCCACTCCCGGGGGATCCCTCCGTTCCCACTCCCGGGGGATTCGATCCCTCCCGTCCCGGGGATCCCTCCCGCCCCACTCCCATCCCGGCCGCTTCCAAGCACGGCAGGTGARGAACAGCTCCGGTTTGAACTCACCCCGCCTCATCCAGCCGGGCGGCCGGGCGGAGCGGCTGCCGGTGGGGACGGGATCGGCCGGGATGGGATCGGGAAGGACGGGATTGGCCGGGATGGGATCGGCAGGGCCGGTATCCCGTGCCCAGTCGCGGCCGGGAAGCATCGGGAGCGGAGGAGCCGCGCCGCCGCCGGGATCCGGGAGCGATGGCCACTCCTCCGGGCCGGCAAACACGGCGTGGGGCTCCCGGACAGCCCCGCTCCGGCCCCGGATCCCGGGAACTCCCTCGGAGCAGCCCAGCCGAGCCCTCCGCCCCCCAAAGCGGGGGTTACGAGCACCCCGGGAGCTCGGAGGGGGTCGGCGATGCCCCGGCCCCGCTGCTCCGGGGGGACGGGATCCCGCACTGCCCGGATTCCACGGGAAATCCCACCAGGAACTCTCCCGAACCCGAGCCCCGGCCCTGCCCCGAAACGGAACCGCCCGTTCTGGAGGAAACTCGGGAAGAGGCGGCTC